TGCACACTACTTTGCCTGCGCGAGTCGTGTACCCATAATTCTTGGCGCCCCCCGAAACAAACTCGGTGATGACATCCCCGTCCAATTCATCCGTCATGTCCCCCAGAAAATCCCCTGTGGTGATGGAGGGTTGACCGGGACGCCATCGGTGAATCACACTGTCCGTATCGTAGTAAAGGACTTGCTGTATAAGGATGTCCAGGGACTCGTAGAGCTTGAGTCGAGCATGACACGTGGTGAAAGCCGCCACAAAGATATTGGTCTTGGTGCCTTTGACGGCATTGTCTTGGACACTGGTGTAGACAGCCTCCAAGATGTCGTCGGTACAGAGACGGAGCGTACTGAGATCGAGAGCCGCATCGGAGATGAGATTGAACAAATGGGCGGGGTCCTTGACAGTGACGGTGGTGGGTTTGTTCATCCGCTCGCCAAACTTGCCCCAGAAACTGTTCAACATCAATTTGGCGGTAGCCTTGCGACCGGGATTTTTGACAATGTTGGCAATGTCCAATCGGATCCCCTCCCGTTCCTGGTAGCGAAGAATGTACTCTCGTTTCTGCTCGAGGGTCTGACACCAGCTTGGCCACCCCGCGGACTCTTGTTTGATTTTTAGCCAGGTGTTGACGTAAGGGGCGAAAAGACCCGTTTGGCGTTGCTCGGGGGGAAAATGCCAGACTTCATGGATCTTGATGAGGGTGTACCCTTTTTCCACAGCTTTGACCAATTCGGGCGTGCACCAGGTCCCGCGTAGCATGCGATCAGCATCCGAATGAGGGCAATACTGGGTTCGGGTCAACATGGGTTGGGCCTGCTCTGTCTGGACACAGGCACGGCAGAGAGGAAAGGTGAGCTTTTGGCCACAGCGTACAGGCAAGACGGGGTGGAATAGACCAGCCGGAGGCAGAATATCCACAGTCGCCAAACCAAAATAAGACTCCAGGGACTGGTCGGCGGGTTGGGTGATGATCTTGGGATGACCAATGGGGTAAGGGCAGTTCTTGTTCACCCACGGGTACAGGGACGTGACATCCACATAGCGTATCTCCTCCCCCTCTTCAGCCACGGCATGCAGGGCCACGGCGCCAGTACGACCCCCAAAAAAGGCGTCACGGGGTTCCAGGGGAGCCACCAGATCAAAGGAAGCCAGAAACTGAGAGACAGCGGGCTCGTCATCAACCAGTCGGTCCCATTCACACTCCCACATTTCAATCACTGTGTAGCCTGCTCGGACCAGAGCCATGCGTTTGGAGAGCGTGGCCTGATACAGTTCTTCCACGCTTCGATCTGGCACCGCATAATGTTTGGCGTATCGGCTGGGATAACAGCGGGGACAGCCATGGTAGAGACATCCGTGGAACTCGTAGACGGTGCGGGTCAGAGGATCGTACCCATCGACAAAATAGCTGTTGGCGAGGGTTCGGACCGACTGTTCACCCCCGTTCTGGACGTGTCGAATGCGATCGGCACTGGCCCCCTCTTTGGGAATTTGATGTTCTTGATAGTACAACCATTGCAGGGCCTTGAGGGATTGATTGACTTGGGCGCCTCGCCACCCCCCGAGCGGTTCGACAGCGATGGTGTCGGGGGTCAAATGGTGCTTGCGCCAATACAGATTGCAGGCACTGGCAATCGTGATGCATTTGGCCATGGGATTGAAGCCAGCCTGCCGCTCAAATTCTTGCTGAAAAGCTTCACACCCCGCTTTCAACAGAGCCACATCCGATTTGCAATAGTCAATCATTTCTTGCTGGAAATCAAAACGCACATGGCGACGGACTTGATCCGCATGCCAACGCGTCAGTTCGTCTTTCTTTTTGGCCATCATACCCTCAGGATCGTAAAATTCCAAATCGGGGATGCGGCCCACGTACTGTTGATGATCCGGGGTATTAAACAAATGCGGAAAGAAGCCCTTCTTTAATTCGGTCAAATTGAAGGTGCTGGGAAACGAGGCGAGTGGCATGGGCAAGAAACACAACGAGTCAATGAATTTGAGGGGTCCGCTCTTGAAGGACAACACTTTGGCGCCCACCGTCAGTTGATCCACCACCTCGCGTTGTTGCTGGTACAGTTCATGGAGAATAAACATACCGTCAAAGCCTTTCAAATTGTGAAACACCACGAGAATCTCCCGTTCACTCTCGTTGTCCAGGTGGTCCGTGAGATCATCCAAATCGTGCAAAAATTGGAGGGCACAGTCCTCCCCGTCCAACACATGAATGGTGGTTTCTTCGCTGGACGAATAACACAACAAATTGGCTACAAACACGCCTTCCGCATTCTGCATGGCTTCAAAATCGGCATAAACAAACAGGGGAGGGGGTGGCGCCACCATGCTACCTCCCCCCTCCTCTGTGGGTTCAGTCTCCTCATTCTCTACCACGGGTTGAATGTAACACTTGTGGTCCTGGATGGGTACCCATTCGTGACAGGCGGGACATTTGGCGTACCCACACTGGTGACGTTTGTTAGGGAGAACGTTGTACTGGGCCTGACACTTGAGACAGGTTTTGATGGATTGACATTGCTTGCTGACCACATGATGACGATTGCAATGGTCGCCGTAAAACTTGCGGTGACATAAGGGGTAATAGTCCGTGGGGCGGGTACCACGCACATAATCTGGACAATCAAAGCACCAATAAGCACGGCAGCGTCTCCCTTGACAGGTGTGACCGGTCCGATCGTTGGTGTTGAACCCTCGTTCACAATCCAGGCAATAATACGAACGATTGACAAACGCAGGAAAGGACGTACAACCATCAAAATGATCATTGGATTTGAGTAGACGAATCTGATGAGGAGCGTCAGGGCCTTTAAAGATGAGAAAAAACGGTTTCATCCGGGTCATCACCAGCAATTGATATTGAGACCCTAACGCTTGTTGAAATTGACGCAGCTCGGGTAAACCACAGGGACCCTCAGCCACCCCCGCTTGCTGATGGAGGGCCTGGGCTTGGCGTAACTGCACAGGACGACCACGTTTGAGATTGTCCCAGTCGCGAAACTCGTCCACGCCTTGATCTTTATGGCAATGGGCTCGCATGGTGACGATAGCACGAGCACGGCATAGGGCATCTCTGTTTCGGATAGGGATGATGCATTGTTTTTTCTTGTTGTCTCGATCCAGGCATAGACGTCCCACATTGCGTTGTTTATGTCGACCAGACCCTCGACCAGGCATAGAGACAAACACCACATCCACTTGGAAACCGCGATCAGGGTTGAAGGCTTCATTGCTATTCAACTTGCCGGCCAAGGTGGCTAACATTTCATCCAAACGCGCCGTGCGTTGTAAAAATTCCCCCACTTTAAAATTGGCTGTTTGGTAAGCATGGGTGAACCCATGCGCCGTGATGGCAAAATTGACAAAATGATGGGCAGGTCGCTGCTCGCGGCCCAGTTCTGTTTCAATGGCTTGATGGAGTGCTTTGGTTAAAGCCATGCCAATATTATCCCCAGGGACAGGATCCCGCAATTGCCGTAATTGCGCATTGAATTGCGCCCGCTCCACCACATCACGCCAGCGGCGTCGTCGACCGATGGGTTGCATGGTGAATTGAAAGAGAGGGCCACGGGCGGCAGCCCCTCCCAACTGTTCCCACCGATCATAGGCGCGGTCCAATAGAGCATCCCCCTCTTCATCGTCACTGAAGTGATACGCCTCCGCCATGACGGCGGCAACAATTTGAATTTTCCCGCGCTGGACGTGGACTTTTATAGACCTTCTCACGTGATCTCTCCTGCGCTGAGATTGGTGGACCAAGCTCAGGTGAGAGTCAGGTGAGGTGGTTGATCGACAAGAAGAAGATCAGGGGTGGTCCCCCCCCATGGGTACAGACTCCTTCCATCTCCTCTGGGCCTGGACCGAGATCAGTGATTGGCGGAGGACCCCCTAGATAAAGTCTGTCGTTCAGAACAGACGTCAGTGTGAGTTCGAGATGCCCAACAAGGATCCGAGAAAGTAAAACAGGTAAAGCACGAGTGATATCTCAAGAACAAAGAGAGATTGTTGCAGCAGAAACGTGAACGGCGGGCGGCCCAGAAAAAGTTGAAACCACCCAAACCGCCTAAACCAGCTCCTACGCCCGAACAGGAAGCGCAAGCCCGAGAAGCCAACCGACTGGCCTGTCTACGGTATCGAACCAAAAACGCGGCCTATGTACGTTTATTGAACCGTGACTATTACCACAGGCACCGCGAGCAGATTGCACAACAACAGCGGGACCGACATGCCAGGCATCGACAGAGAATCGAGAGTCCATTCCGAAAGTTACGGGCCTTGGCAGACGTATGTGCTGCCCGATTGCTAGAGTTAGACCATGGATACATCCGGATCGAGCCAACCACGCAAAAAGAGGGACCCCGAGCTCAATAAACGGAACCAAAAACTCTATCGGCAACGACAATATGCGTCCGTGAATGGCATCGAGAAAGTGAAAGCCCTTCACCGTCGACGCTACCACGAACGTATGGCGCGGATGAAGGCCAACGGGGAGTATGAGGCCTTCAAGGCCAAAAAGGTCCAGGAGGGCATGCGACGCTACTATGGCATGACAGAGGAACAACGCACCCATGTGAAACGCAGGAACGCACAAGCCCAAAAAAACTGGATGGCGAAAATGAAGGAGGAGGGGACCTTCGAGGCGTACAAAGAACGCGTGAATGCGCGGCGGCGACAACTCCAGGACGAGAAACGACGAGCATTGGGGGAGGATGGGTGGAGAGCGTTGCAGAAAGAAAAATATCAGAAGCGGATGGAGTCCATACAAAATCAACGATTGGCCGAGCATTTGGAACGTCCTTTTCCCCTCCCGTGACTGCCTTTAGACTGGTCCGACTCCGAGCCTGAAGAGGACCCTGTACAACCGGTTCGTTCAAACGCGTTACAACAATTGCAGCAGTATTTGTAAGAACAAAGAGGAGTTTATTAAAACGTGATTATATCATTCAATCTTGTTATCTTGTTATGACTGTGTTAACATAAGGGTCTTTTTTGTTCACATGCCCAATCGAAGTTTGGTTTTCATAATGCGTCTGACAATGCGTTCTGTCAGGGTTTTGCGACCAGGGAGTTGATCAATCTTGGCAATCATCTTGCGATCCGCCACCCATTTATCTTTCAACGTCTTGGCTTTATCATAGTCCATGTCATGCACTTTCGCAATCCTGTCTAACCGGTTGATGCCGGGATCCCCACGGGCCAAACGTTTTTTCAAATGGGTGCCAGGGCCCATGTACTGATAGCCAGGCCAATGAAATTCAATGCCCGTCTTGTTGAGGAGGTTTTGCACATCAAATAACTTGCCCCCGCGTTGCGATCGTCGTGGTCGTCGCCTCGATCGGGCACGGGAGGCGGCAGCCACACGGCGTCTCCGTCCCATCACGGGGTTTTCCACGATTTCCAATCCAAGGCTTTCTTGGCCAGACTGATGCCTTTCTTTTGGACCACCGCCTTCGCTTTCTTTCTAAGATGTTTCTTGATAGCTGGAGAGAGCGTGGAAGAGATTGAGGTCGAGGTCGATGTACCAGGCAACCCTTCGGCCAAGTCTGCACTGCTCACTTGGGGCGTAAACTTGAGTTTCTTTTTGGCACTGGGGGTGATGTTCGGTTTGGGCGGGACAGGTGGTTTTCTGGGTCCTGTAGGCGTGGACCCTTGTTTTATACCCTGGGTGGCCTTGACCAACTGCGTAAACCACGCTTGCATAGGCCCCGCCTCAAACTCATCGTCGCCCGGGGTCGTAGCCCCTGTCGCGCGCACACCCCCCGCTGGCGCTCCAAACGGTTGAAGCACTTTTTTGGTCCATTGGCGTAATTGACGGCTCACGGCTTTGAGTTGCGGTCGTTTCCAGGCATCCGGGACCTCACTGGTCAGGAGGACATGTTGTTTGGCCGCCAAATCCGCGGCTTTACTCAAGCGAGTATCTTCCACCAATTCTTGTTTATACTTCTCTTTTAATTGTAAAAAAGCAGGGGCGTTGTCCACCGTGGTGCTCACCATCTCGGGTTCCATGATGCAACTGACGTGTCTTGTCTAGCGCATGCAACGTTTATAACATCAGTAGAGTTCAGGCCAGAGGGCGCCGCCTGTTTGAGCCATCATGATGGCATGCCGTCGTTTCACCGAATGCGCGGGTTTGGCCATAGCGCGTAAACTCTGGGCATGGGGTTTGAGCAACGTGATGGTATGTCGAGAACGGCGCACGGTGCCACGGAGCCTGTTCATCACCAATTCACTGATGGCATTGATCTGATCCGCATTCGCCATCCGCAACAATTCTTGTCGTTTATGTTGATTGGCTTCTTGTAAGACACTTTTCAAGAACGGGGCTTGACGTTCCATGCGCCACGCCATGCTGAAGGTTGAGGAATTGCCACAACCCAGCTCTATTTATGGTAAATTGGGCCCCACACTGGCGACACAATTCCCCATGATAATGCTGTTGCATATGACGTCGACATCGCTGACACAACGCGGCCTCGATCTCCTCCGTCCACTCTAGCGTCAACGTCATGGCCTTGCGAGGGGATCTAGTCCGGTCAACGAACACGGATCCTGGGTTTGTATTTCCTGAGCCACAAAGGCGAGAGAGCCATTGCCAACAGCGGTAGCCTACCTCCGCGTTGCAGATCGCGTCGACGACGTCGCTTTCGGGGGACATAACGATGTCGGCGTCGATTGGGTCCACGGACCATCCTCCAATAGAGACTTGTTCCACCTGGCGTTCTTTTATAGCCTTCTCAGCGCTTTTTAAACCCGCCCCAACCCGTTCGACCTAACATCCGCTGAACCCGTCGTTGAATGAATGCCTCTTGCTTTTCACTGATCTTGCCCACTTTTTTCTTTTTCTTTTTTTTCAAGGCGATGGCTGCACCGACGGCAATAGGGAGGAGGAGGGGGAGAATACCCCCTCGTTGCTTTCGGCGTCGTGTTCGTCGTCGTGGACCACAATGCATGATAATCCCTTGTCTGTCCAACGAAAGACACGCCTCTTGTCTTTTATACTATTTTTTTCACATGATGGAACAATTAAACGATTCCCCCGCATAGCGTTTTCGTTTGCCGGATGCCACTTCCCGTCGGCGTTTTTCGCCAATGGCAATGGCACGCTTGGTTTGATGATCCCCAATGGCTTTGGTGATCCCATACCCGGCTTTAAGAATCCCGAGAGGCAGGCCGGGCCCGACACCCCCCACTTGACCACGCCGTCGTCGTTTGGCGGGTCGGAGACGTCGGGTCGTGGTGCGTTTGCGTTTGCGTCCAGGGGCCATCCCGCTTCGACATTGGCCACACATGGTTTTGGGACAGTCGAAGGAAGGATCCTGGTTTTATATCTTTTTTTCACCTTCACGGGCGTCGACCCCGTCCACGGGCTCGGCCACGGCCACGACCTCGGCGTGGTGGGGGTGGACCGGAGGTTCGCGTCGAGGTGCGGCACACGGACGGTCGCCCTCCCTCTTCATACACGGTGGTCACCGTATTGGTATGCGTAATATTGCTAATGCGTCTCCCTCGCGCCCGTTCTTGGGCATCTTCATTCAGCAAATCCAACCGTCGTCTTAAGCCTCGCCGTCGATCGTCGTCATCATCATCCTCATCCTCATCCTCCGACGGAGGGGAGGAATCCGGGGACGGTGGAGAGGGTACGCGGGGACGTCGTCGCGGTTGTTTGGCAGCCACGGTGGGACGTCCAGTCGGGGTCATCACCGTGGTGGTGGTGGTCCTGGTCCCGGCTCCAGCACTGCGACGGGCGGTGGAGGGGCATGAAGGGGCTGTGGTGGTGGCGGTGGCGGTGGTCACAGGACGCGGTCTGGGTCGTCTGGAGCTGGTGATGGTCGTGGTGGCCGTGGGGCGGGTTCGGGTGGACGTCGTGGGACGGGTTTGGGTCGCCGTCGTGGTGGGAGTGGTGGTGGCTGGGGCCGTGCCTGTGCCTGCCACGGGGGGTAACGTAAAGGCATTCAAGGCATCGTCCACATTGACCGGGAACGTCAAATTAAAATCCTCAATCTCTTGATCCAATTGGGCTCGATCCACGGGTTGGGTCAATTCCGCGACCATGTCCGTCATGCTACTGAGATCTGGGGGAGGGGCGGTGGGCGAACCTACCCCGGCGGGCGAGAAGGTCGGCGTGTCCATGCGGGTCGCTAAGTCAGTATGTTGTCCGCCTTCTCTTTGCCGACCCTGGCGAGTTCTCGTTGCAGTTCGTTTTCGAACGGCAGGGACATCCACGGGCAAGGTATGGACTTTCGCCTTGCCTTCTCGGCGGTACCGATCATCCGACGCCAGATGCACATCCAGCATCAAATAGCCAAAGGGACGGGACGTGATGCGTTTAAATAGGCGTAAGACTTGACGCCATCGGTCGGGAAAGGCTTGCAGTAAAATGGTGCGTATGCCCGTTTGATCCCGGGGATTCTTGAAGGCCACAATGTAATGCGCGTTGCGATTAATGGTCTTGGCAAATTTACCAGGCGGGAATAAATCTTGCGTCAAATACAAGACGGTGATGTTCCGATGATGAGAATCTTTGGTGAACAAATCCAACACGCGTTTATCCTGTCCCCCTTCTTCCATCAGATCGTCCAACACCAGCACCCCGCCGCGCGTCCGACCAAACCATTGGGTCAAATGACGGGGGTCCGGTAACCCGCGATGAAATTGAATCCCCTCCTTTTTTTGCATACGATCAAACCGGGGTTGCCATCGGTCGTACGCATAGACGATCTTGTGGGGTTTGACTTGAAACACGTTGAGGTCCCGTAACCACTGTTCCACTAACTCGCTCTTGCCACTGCCCGACGGGCCAGCGATAATCACACTACTGGGGTGTCGAATCATCCTTCCCGCGGTCGAGGCAGACGATAATGACCCGTGGCCCCTTTAGCACCCATGCGTTTATACCGTTTGCTACGTCCCAATCGGTGACCGATTTTATACGCTTTGGCCAAGACGCTCATGATGCCTCGCCCGTTTTGACGAAAACGGGGTCGTCGTCGTCGTCTTGGTCTGTGACGGGGCATGCCGTCCAATACTCGCGGTAGAGTCGTGGCGACTCGAACTGAATCAGTCCTTCCATCGTCTCTCTTAAATGCGTTTCACTCATCGTGTCCATGTAATGTTTGAGGGAAACCCAGTCCTGGTCTTGGGCCAGTTGTCGGGCCATTAACCAATGATACCCATCCCAGGCATCGACGCCTTGGACGGTGTTCACCCGTTCAATGGGGTGTAACCACCAATACAAGGTTTCTTCTAAGAGAAAGGCATCGATCACACGCTGTACATCGCTTCGTGTAATCATGATGAGATACAATGACCACTCTTTCACCACACATCTCGTTTTTATGTGTTTTTTATTTCAACACTCACAATGATTACACAGCATAAAGGCCTGGCGGCTCACATTCTTTTGCCCTCCCTCCGGGTGGGCATCGACTTCATCTTGTACTTCTTGTTTAATCACCCGTTTCAAGCGATCGGCCACTTTCTGGTCATTCAACACTAAGTTATCGCAACTCCATTGCCCCAAAAAGTCTTGATACGACTGGCCTTGGGCTCGGGCTTTCAAGAAAAATAACGCATAATGGCCACAGGTCTGACTATCCAGGGCTTGCAGGNCATAGACGATCTTGTGGGGTTTGACTTGAAACACGTTGAGGTCCCGTAACCACTGTTCCACTAACTCGCTCTTGCCACTGCCCGACGGGCCAGCGATAATCACACTACTGGGGTGTCGAATCATCCTTCCCGCGGTCGAGGCAGACGATAATGACCCGTGGCCCCTTTAGCACCCATGCGTTTATACCGTTTGCTACGTCCCAATCGGTGACCGATTTTATACGCTTTGGCCAAGACGCTCATGATGCCTCGCCCGTTTTGACGAAAACGGGGTCGTCGTCGTCGTCTTGGTCTGTGACGGGGCATGCCGTCCAATACTCGCGGTAGAGTCGTGGCGACTCGAACTGAATCAGTCCTTCCATCGTCTCTCTTAAATGCGTTTCACTCATCGTGTCCATGTAATGTTTGAGGGAAACCCAGTCCTGGTCTTGGGCCAGTTGTCGGGCCATTAACCAATGATACCCATCCCAGGCATCGACGCCTTGGACGGTGTTCACCCGTTCAATGGGGTGTAACCACCAATACAAGGTTTCTTCTAAGAGAAAGGCATCGATCACACGCTGTACATCGCTTCGTGTAATCATGATGAGATACAATGACCACTCTTTCACCACACATCTCGTTTTTATGTGTTTTTTATTTCAACACTCACAATGATTACACAGCATAAAGGCCTGGCGGCTCACATTCTTTTGCCCTCCCTCCGGGTGGGCATCGACTTCATCTTGTACTTCTTGTTTAATCACCCGTTTCAAGCGATCGGCCACT